AGAAACTAATAGATGCGTCGATCTTCTAGCCTATAGGGCTCTCAAGGAACATTTTGACATTATGTTATTTGATAGACCGCCTAATGATTGTAAGAGCCTTATGGCTTCAAACTTGACCTGATTTTGGTCTTTTTATATGGTTTTAACCGTGGCCTTGTATTTAAAAAAAAAAAGGATTACTTTTTGTATGTGTTTCTTTTTTATTTTTAAGAATTTTTAAGATTGCCCATTTACCCTCTTGCAAGCATCTTGAAGTCCTTTGACACTATAAAATGAATTAAATTAATTTATATAATGAGTGTCATAGTTATTGCTATTAAATTTTAACAACATTTAAAAATTACCAAGACGCAATATATTTTTCTTAAAAAATTTAAAACAATCCTCACAAGAATATCACTCACATACATTGTCTCTTTCAAAAATTTAAGATTTAATTTTTTTTAATCTTATTTGACAAAATCTTTTGTAGTTATTCAATTAAATCAACGGTTTGTTATTATTATATCACACCAAATGCTCATTGAATAGTGGGTTTGTGCCATTCACAAGATTTAAACCTGACAACATATAATATATATGTGAGTGTACATCAGTAGTTATAAGATTAAAAACGTAAAAGAGATTTGGTTAGAGCAATACATGTGCAGAACTTAGTGTATCTCTTTTATGGTTTTAATTAGTAATTAATGATATGTGCTGTGACCGAAAGAAAGGTGGGACACGGGTGTTTTAGGCACAGATAAAGATTCATGGAATGGAAGGTGAGAAGATGACGAGACATAATTAAAAACAACACATGATGATAAGATTCCTCATTACATCAAATCTCTCACCAATGGATTCCCTAACACGGCTTGTGTTTTCATCCTCTCATTATTATATTCTTCTTTTTTATTTATTTTCTTAATCTTCTGTGGATCCCACATAATTTTTTTCTCACCTGCCGATGCATCTACTTGGACGCTAACGCTATCTGTCACTTCCTTTAATCTGTTTTCTTTCATAAATATCTATTATCATCTATATATCATCAGGAAGTTGGGAATAGCTTTTCTAACACGAATTTCTTTTTCTTTTTTAAGATTTCATCTTAATTTTTTTTATAAGTATGAGAAATAGGCTCCACCAACAACAAAAATTATCTCTAATTTTTAAGAGGTACTTAGATAATAAGAGTCAAGATTTTAATTCCAAACCACTTGTTTAAGTGAAAAGAAACATCAAGTTTAATTGGTTAAACTCTAAATTTTAATTATAAGAAAACTGAATTTATTATACTTAATTAATCCAATCACTGATAATGAAAATAATAGTTTTTTTAAATCATTCTTATGTCCCATACAAACAATTTAAATCAGAAAAGTATTGTAATAAAATCACAAAATTACTCCAAACTCTCATGTCCTTTTCCGAAGCTATCAATTTGCTATATGAATGTTGTCAATTATTATTCGGTAGTTGTTAGTAGCGTTGTTTAGTTGACAATAAATAATAATAATAATGAACAATTATCCAACAGTAAATGATATGAGAATTTTAAATAAATTTATAATTTTATGAAACTTTTTTATATTTAAATTTCTTGCAAGAGTCCTGGGTGATTTTCTCTTGTTTTTAATAACAAAGCGTTTATTATGACAGATGAAACCACCAGCCATAAAATTTAAGCAGAATTTTAAGAAGGACAAAAGAAGTAATTCCATTAAAGTGATGAATTGAACCACTTGAATCAAATTCAAACTTACATCAAGATTCTAAATATAAAAATCTGAAAGATGAAAATGACCTAGAAAGTCCACCAAAGCAGCCGGACATGGATGCCTTTTTCTTTACGTATTTATACTTTCTGTGCTAAGGTGAAATTGAAATTGAAATAAATAATGAAAGATTGAGCAGAATTTTCAAGACCTGGTAATGTATCTTCTATCATGAATTTAATTTATCTGTTTGATTTGAATGATGTCCCTAATATTTTGGCTTTTAAGGAACCGTTTGGATTGGCTGTTTGGCCCCTCCATGGCCGCAATTTATTGACCAAACAGTGAAAAGTTGAATTGGCATGCAACACAAATATCAATTAAGTCCAAAAAAACAAGGAATTTAAATGTAACATTACAAAGTTGAGAATTACTCCTCTCTTTTGTCTGATGCTACTATACAAGAAATCATACTTTTCCCCTCAATTTAAACTCAATCATATCTGAGGAAATCATTATTGTTAATGCTGAGCGCCCATGAACAAATGATTATCATGATAGCATCTGATATCAAATTCACCTACTAAGGTAAAGTTAATGAATAGGTGAGTTATGATAAGGGTAAAAAGTGACCCAAACATGGGACTAATTTGTGATCCCTAGAAAAGCATTGAGGTTGTAGAACATCTCATATTTGATTGGATATTTAGAGCTAAACCACTATTTTGATGCATGCCGCTGCTGAATTCAGACAAATTCTAATGTTTTCTTTTCTTTAAAGGAAGTTTGGATGACAGTTGGATCTAATCTATTTAGCTTAAACTTAAATTATAAAAGGGGCAATTTTTTTATTAGGCTCTAATGTCACTCTAATATAGAATTATCACGTCTTGTTAGTAATAATGTAACTCTTAACTCATAAGGACGTCAGATCAAATCTCATTATCAATGCGAAGACATTATTAGCAAGTAATTTTTAAGTATATTTTTAATAAAAATATGTAAGTACTTTTGTAAATACTCTTCGAGTTTAGAGACATGTTCTAGTCTTAATAGACGGTGACAAAGCCAGGAGCCCAAATTAGAGAATGCAATTTAATTTAAAATATGAAAAATGACAAAAATAATTTTAAAAAATTAATTATATATCTTACAATTATTCTCCTCATCATTTTATTTTTTTAAATTGTTGTACAATAAATTTATTGTCAATAAAATTAAAAATATATCTTTTAATATGAGATTATGAGGTAAAAGAAAATCAATTTGAAAAAAAGCTTTTTCTGTTGTTGCTGAGATGGGAGCAATATTTTCAAAAATATTCCCAACTTGTATTCCAAATCTAGAGGTTTTTTGTTTTTTTTAATTAAAATTTTTTAGGATATCTGGAAAATTTATTTAATTATATATATAATACATTAATTTATACATATTAGTCTGAAAAAAAAAACTACATTTTTTATAAATTCCTCAAACAAAAAGGTATATTATATTGACATTGACTTGAAATTCTCAAACAAAGGAATGAAAACAATGATCTTGTGGGTCGTGGCTGCGTGCAAAACACATTACAATATTACTATTTAAGATCTAGAAAAATCATAGAACCAAATTTTTCACTTTTACCAAAAAAAATTCACTTTTACCAAAAAAAAACAGAGAGAGAGTACAAAATCATGTTTGTCTCATATGGAAGCAATTTCATTAGCCTCTGCTTGCTTTAACTCCCACTCCCCATTGCATTAGATTCGACCATTTGTAAGCTTCAAGAATTTGGCAATGCTAATGAGTTTCTGAGATTCAATTTATCTTAATATTTGTTTATAAAAAAAATTACAATAAGGGGTATTTTTTTAAATCATTCATCGACATCCTCTTAATAGTGACAATTATATTCAAAGCAGGGATTTGAATTTTTATTTGTCACGCTATAAGATTTTTTTTTTTTTTTGCTGAACTTAATTCTTGGTAAAAACCTTATATCTTTATATGCTGCGGATAATACAAAACCCATGCCATGCGTGTGTTATATTATAAAATGAAACTCTATCACTTATTGCCTCCGTTTAAAAATATAATGTATTTTTAACTGAACTTTATCCTTCAATAAAATAGTTACCTACTTTCTAATTAATCTTATATTTTTATATTTATCCTTATTAAACATCTTGCAATAAATATAAAGTCATTATTATTAAGGGTACTTTTGAAAAAAAGACAATAATTACATCTCAAAAAACTAAAAATGTCTTATATTTTTTAATATTCAACTCCTTAAAAAATGCTTCATATTTTTGAACGGAGGGAGTATAAAATTATAGATAGTTTAGCTTCTTAGCAAGGAGAAAAATGTTTTGTTCATTTTTCAAACCTTATAGCAAAATGGCAATCTGATCACAACTATTATTCTTAAGTTATAAATAATATGTGTGTATGCATATTTTTCAAACTCTATACAATATGTTAGATTATAACTTGTTAGTTATATTTCAATATTTACTTTCACCTGAACTTATATTCATGTATAAACTACAAATTAAGACATGATAGTTGTGTCATTGATTAACATTTATGAAAATGTGGTATTGAAATTAAAATGTTCACAATTATAAAGATTAAATTATAAAAAAAAGTAATAATTTTTTTCAGAATTAAGTAAAGGCTCATAAGGTTCAATGAATCAGACAGATATAGAAGAACAACAAAGGAAAATCATTTTCAAAAATTTAAGGATCCCTAACACAGAATCTTAAAATTAACTTATAGAATTGCACTATTTTAAATGGTAAATACTCATAGTTTAATTAGTAAATTTGTGCTACGTGAGTGGTAAATTTGAGATCCTCAAAGCTAAATTATTTTCAAATTTGGTGTTTTTGAATAATTTTCCTAAAGAATAATTTGACTATGATTTGGTAACAATGCTTTGACTATTTTTTTTTTTTAACCATACTTGAAAACGCCAGAGGATGCTATCTGTATTAAATATATCTTCTTCTTTGTCCGAAAAACGCGTTGAAAAAATACCAAAAAGAAAGAACACAAAGCTGTCTTTGAAAATTCATTGAATTGGCCTAAAAGAGACCGTACATCACGGTTAGTGGATAATTATTAAATAAAACTTGTTAGATATAATACGCTTGTTAGATATAATACGCTTACCAAAGATTCTGATAAATTATTCTTATTTTCCCACAAATATCTTACATATTCCGAAATTGAAATTAATTAAAATAAAATATTTATTTATTTATTTATAATCTATAATTCACGTGAAAGTATGAAACTGATCTAAGCTTGTCTGCGATACAAGCAGGGTCAGCCTGCCCGAAATCCAGCCGGGCAGGTCCAAACTCCGATGTCCCTCCATTTTCTTAGATAACTAGCTCAAGCGCCTATCGCACCTTGGCTTGAAGGAGTGTGAGCTCGTCGGTCTCCACTACGACGACCCCCGCCACCTCTGCCGTGGAAGGTGGCGCGTGTGCCAGTAGCTCGGTAACTCTAGCTCCCTGTGTTAGCTATTAGAGCTAATCAATTATGGGTCAGAGGCTGAGTTGCAGGCAACGCCATGAAAATGCTCTGTTTGCTGCTGTTGCTAATGGGGACTTGGAGGTAGTCGAGGCTATGATAGAGGAAGACCCTACAGTTCTTGAAGATACTTCCGGCCATGCTAAGCTCTCCCCTCTACATGCAGCAGCCGCCAGTGATCGGATCGAGGTTGTTTCTCGCTCTTACCCCTTAATCTTCTCTACTTTTCTCAGATTTTAGTGGTGTTCTTAGTCTTTGGTGGTCTTCTATGGGTTTTGCTCCATGAAGTACTGTACCTAAAGAATGGAGTCGAATCGTGTCTGAAACACGTCCGATGCGGGACTTAAAATTGTACTTGCTCAACATATGTTTCGCTACTTCTTAGGTTTTGATCATGGTGTGTGGTTTGATCTTGGCCAGGTACTTTCCATGTTACTGGACCGGTCTGTTAATGTCGACGTCCTTAATCGCTATAAACAGGTGCATCTCTCATCTCTGATGTTTTTAATTGAACTGAAAATACTGCCTTTTTAGTTGAAATTTGCGGTTCTTTCTATTGTCTAGTTTATATCCTCCTTCATTCTTCCTCTATTTGTCTTTGATGGCTTATTATTTGATTTTTCTTTTGGCATAGACCCCGTTGATTTTGGCTGTGATGCGTGGAAACATTGGTTGTGTGGAAAAGCTTATTCAAGCCGGAGCTAATGTATGTTATACTTGATTCTTTTTCAATTTGAATCTTGTGGTTTCTGGGAATTCTATTGAATCTTATGGGTTTAATGAATGATTTTTCTTGTTTCAGATATTGATATTTGATTCTTTACGTGGTCGAACCTGCCTGCACCATGCTGCTTATTATGGCCACATTGATTGCCTTAAGGCCATTCTTTCTGCTGCCCGTTCCTCACCAATTGCAAGCTCATGGTTAGGTTCTTTTTTGTTTTCTCAAGTAAAATGCGTTGACCATCCTGGATTTAGCAGTAAATGTACATAGGCTAAATCCCTTTTCAGAATTATGCTTAGTATAATGCTTAATATAACTATTAACTGAGACATGGATTGGTCAAAGGTTGGATTCGTTGGTTATTTACTCAAAACACCTTGATTTACTGTATGCAACTGCTTTAATTGTCTGTTAGAAGAAATTGAGAATCAAGCTGTTCATATTTTCTACATTTGAAATCAACTTGTTGGAGTTTTAAAACTTGTTGATTAAGGGTACTTTAGGCATAGACATTCATTAGTTGTAATAACGAGTTCAATTTCATTTCCAGGGGGTTTGCAAGATTTGTTAACGTAAGAGATAGAAATGGCGCCACACCATTGCATCTTGCAGCCCGTCAAAGACAGCCTGAATGTCTGCGTACTCTTCTAGACAATGGGGCTCTTGTTTGTTCATCACCTGGTGGATATGGGTATTTCTCTCTGAAGTTATATCAGTTTGTCTTGGATAAATATGAATGATATTTCATTGACATTGATCAAAGTATAATCTGCAGTTATGCAAGGAGCGCACCACTTCATTTGGCTGCTCGTAGTGGTTCCTTGGATTGTGTCCGTATCTTGCTTGCTTGGGGAGCAGATAGGCTACAATTAGATTCCTCTGGGTAAGTAAAGATTCATTTCACTGTTCAATATTGTGGTAATAATAGGCATATTTCAGTTACGTTTGTATTGCACTATTCATGTAACAGCGTGACCTCATCATAATTTAATTAATGCATCTGTAGCAAATGGCACTTGAAGCTAGTAAATAACTTCTCATATGTTGGTTTGTTACCAAATAAGGTCTGACTTTAGTCTTCAATCCTTTCCTGTCCTTGGCTCCACTCTTGCTCTCCCTGGATTCCTTAATCACTAAAAGCAAATAAATTAATATCTAGTCTAAAATCTTATTCCAATTGAATCTCTGCAGGAGAATACCTTTCACAGTTGCCTTGAAGCACAAGCATAAGGCATGTGCTGTCCTGCTGGACCCTTCATCAGCTGCACCACTTGTTTGGCCATCCCCATTGAAGTTCATTAGTGAGCTCAATGAGGAAGCAAAAGCCTTACTGGAAAAGGCCTTAATGGAAGTTAACAGGGAGAGGGAAAAGACCCTACTCAAGGAGGGAGACATTCCTTCATCTTCCCTGCATTCTGATGGTGAAGATGATGGTATCGACTCTGAGGTATTGCATCATTTTCTGACTGCTTAAGACCTTTCAATTTAATCTACTTGATTTGGTTAAAGATTGTGCTTTGGTATATTAGTAAAAAAATGTTCTTAACCGTTGATACTGTGATTGCTTGTGATTAGTCAAACACATTTAATATGGCCCACTTGGTTTTCTTTTTCATATTCATCTTTCTTTTACTTTTGTCAAGGACTTCAGTGGGTATCATTGCTTTCTATATAACAACAGAAAATTTGCCCTTAGCTTCTGCATGCTTGAAGCAGATGCACTTAGTATGCAGTATACTTCTTACTGAATTAGGTGTATGATGCACATGCACAGTCTAGTTTTTTTTCTTGTAGTACAACCATAATGTTATCTGAAAAATAATGTTTTATTTATTGGTGAAAATAATGAGTTTCTTAATTACATGTTATTTCTGCTCATTTAGGCTAGCAGCAGTGTGGAATTATGTTGTATATGCTTTGATCAAGTATGCACAATTGAGGTCAGACCATGTGGTCATCAAATGTGTGCTCATTGCACCCTAGCATTATGCTGTCACAAGAAGCTTGATGCAGGAGCTCCTTGCCCTGCTGGACCAGCATGCCCTTTTTGCCGAGGTGCTATTCTTCAATTAGTTGTTGCTAAGATTGAGACCAGCAGTGATGTAGAAGTTGAATCTAGTCCCACAACAAAGCCCAGGAGATCAAGAAAATCAAATTTCAGTGAAGGAAGCAGCAGCTTCAAGGGCTTGTCAGCCATGGGTTCATTTGGGAGGATTGCAGGCCGCAACTCAGAAAAGATTGCCGAAAAGTAATGAGGCGATTGATGGGTTAGCCACGGTTGTTTGCTTCCGAGCCAGTCAGGAAACTGATCTAGTGGTGATTTTACCCATCGTTGGAGTAGCTGCTTATATCGATATAGGTTTTGAGGTCAATTTTTTGATAACAGAGTGAATGATCGTAAGATCATGAGAGACAATAGGTGGGTGAAATTTCTTAAACTCCCTGTTTGAGGTTTTGTAATATGCTTCTTAGTTGGTTGGACTTGGAGCATCAAGCCCTTTGTGTTTGTTATCAAATATCAAATATAGTATTTCATGAAATAAAGGTACTTCTCTTTGACGCTTGATTATAATTATATCAACACACACACACACACAGATGGATTTCTCACTTATCACCTTTCTGAGGACTGAGGGTAGTAAAGGTTTTATTGGCATTGAAATGTTATGTTCATGTCTTTGAGCAGTGCTAAAACCCAACGGTGAAAGAGGAAATTTATTGAAATCTTCTTGTTTGAGCTATGGGAGTGTGTGATATCTTATCAGACAAGATTGCACACTATGAAACTGAAGGTAAATAATTCAATCTCTGGATAATCCAGCCTTTCATATCAACATCCTGGTTGAAATAGACGCTTGTACACCATCCTATATGTAATTATTTGAGTAACAAACAGGAGATGCCAAAAGAAATTGGAGATACTTCTGAAAACAAGTGAAAATTTCCAGACCTGGGAATGAAAGAAACTTGAAATCAATGACCTACAAGAAGCCATCACTTAATTTGACTCATCCACACAGACAAGGGAAAACTATCAGTCCTCCATATCCATTGCTCTGTCCCAACAATGCTCTGCTTGGCTCTCTTCCACCTTCTTCTCCTCCCTCCGTTGCGGCACACTCTGGAGCAGCAACTTGGTCCCCAAGGAACAGCGAGTTCGAGTCACGAACGGGAGAGAAGTCATTAACCCCATAAGGGTAAGAGAATGTTCTCTTTCTACAAGTGCTTGCATTTGCAGCCCTTCTCTCTTCTTCAAGGTAGTGACCGAGAGAGGGAATATTGTTATCGCTGTTCATGGCAACAGCATCGGTGGTTAGCCTCGAACAAAATGAGAACAGCCATGGCTTCAGCTTTGGTTCTTCTTGTTGTCCTTGAAGGGTTCCACCATTCTTCCCCTTGTGGATCTCCTTGAGAGTTCAAATATGCTGGAAATACCAATGAGGCTTCCCAGTGTATTGCTCTTGTCATGGAAGAATGATCCAGTGGACTATCATATGAAATCAAGCCAAAAAATCATCTCAATGAAAAATAGTTCTATCATAATATTAATTTCTCAGCCTTGTAACGGTTTCTACTACATGTTAGATATTACATGGCGCCATTAACCCAATCCTTCATAATTATGTTTGGCAAGCCATTTTTTTTTTTTATGGAAAATAGAGTGAAAACCATGTTTGACCAAGAAAGAAGATTTTTCTAATCTAAAGGCATAAAAAAGGGAACAAAAAAATTACCGAAATGACCCTGAGCGCAGAAATGATTAAACTCCAAAAAGAACTACTAAATCAAAAAGAAGGGGTAGTTTCATTATTCTTATCTCTTGTCTAGGTAGACAACCAGAGTCGATTGTGCTAATTGATAGACTCATAGAATATAAATAGATTCTATAGATTTAATTTTTCTATAGATTTAATTTTTCCATGAATTATTACTTAAATAACAAGTACAATCTATATGGACTAATTAAACTTTATTTCTGAATTTTAAGACCAATAATTTAAAAGTTAAAACCAGGCTTGAAAACAACATAGAATGGGCCCCATGAGGAGGTTGGAAATTATCATAAAGGGAACAAAAGCAAGAGATGGATCCAAAGGAGAGAAACAGAAATATCCAAGCTTGAATATATTAGATGGGGCTTCTTCATCACTCATCACTCGTGCTTTCCTTTTCCTATTCACTTCTCTTTTGGACTCTTTCTAAAGTAGAAAATGATTCATTTTCTGCACCCAAACTAATGGAAAAGTCACAAAAGTACGTAGTCAAAAGTCTTGGTCCAATCGACCCCATCATTAGTCTATAGTCTATAGTCTATTAGTCTAATATCACACTAAAATCTTAGACAATTCAAATCTTTTATGCTCATTGCATATCATACTAGACAAAATATCATTTGCATGTGTACAATGTCTCAACTCCTCTTACACTCTATTTTTTGGATGATAAGTTCTACTACTGCTACTGTTGTTGTTGTTGTTGTTGTTATTTCTGCCTTGTCCTCCCAAAAGTGTGTGATACCTAATTTTCCAACTCCTATATGCATATATTCTGTCCAGTCAATCTTGGAATTAATCAAAATAGTAAAAAGGACAATGAGTGAACACAAACCATGCATACCTTCATCATTACTTGTTTGGTCGAACCAAATCAAAATAATTAGATTAATATATTCATGTTGACTAATTTTGTCTTAACACACACACTACACACATAATTATTTTGTGAAGATAACATATAATTTTACAAAAAAATATAAAATAATTTTTAATGGAACATTTGATCAATTTCTTTGCGGGAAAATGGAGAACACAACTACATTTGAATAAAAATTTGATTATATGCTTGGAATTTGAAAAGAAATATAATGTTCATGATTTACTATTTATGAATAATACAATACAATTTTCCATTAATTTTTTTGAAAGAAAAATCACTTCCTATGACCCTAAATGTAATAAGAACTATTTGAAAAGCTTGCTTAGATCTTAAATGTATAATACCAATCTACTCTATCTTCTAAATTTATATTTTTTGTCCAAATTATCCCGATTGATTAATTGTATTAAATATGACTTCTAGAATAATTTTCAATATAAATGATTAAAAGTGATATTTTAAAAAATAAAACATATTTTTTAAAAAATAAATATTTTTTAATATTTATAAATTAGTTATTTAACTCTTATATATTTAAAACCTATGCAGGCGCATAGAAAGATTTTCTTTCAATTAACCTGCATGCCGGACAACATACCAGGCTGAGAGAAACAGACATGGACGCAGATTCTGTCTCTTTCTTAGTGACACGTGGTCACCTCATGAGAATTGACATTGAGATGGCATATTTCTAATATTCTTCATGGATGTTTTTGTTCCAATATTTGAAATATTAAAGCCATAGATATTTTAGGTAAACCTCGATTTAATAAATAAAAAATAAACTAATTTTTCACAGACTACACCAACAATAACAGGAAACCCTGTGTGTGCAAGTGAGAAACACAATCCATGGAAAGACAAAAAATACTATCCAAGAAAAAAAAAAAACAGAAGAGCATGGAGGCATCATTATGATCAAAAAGAGCAGGGTAAACCAAGATTTAAAAAAAAAAAAGCAGAGAAGAAATTAAGAATAAGTTAGTACAAGTAGAGGTTTGAGTTTTGTGGTTTTGGAAAGTGTTGAAGTAAAAATGAAGAACCTGGGAATCAAGATCTGAGGAAGAGGAAAGAGAAGGAGTGAGGAGAGTGGTGAAGGAGGCAGAGCCTGTTGTTGAGAAATCTGCAATGTGATTATTAGTCACCAATCCGATTCTGGCATTCAATAATCTGAGCCCCAATGGCCATCCTTCTTCCTGCTTCCCAACATCAATCGCATGAATTTAATCAGTTCTTCAACATCAAATCAGAGCCAACTGAGACACAGAGATATATATATATATATACCTGATGAGCCATGATGCAGTGAAGAGTTCAGAGAGAAGAGAAGCAATGGGAGAGAAGAAAGAAAGGAAGAAGCATGTCTGTGCTCAGATGAGCATGGAAGAGTCAAAAAGTGGTACCATGAGGGAAGAGCAGAGACATGGCAGAAACAGAGAGAGAGAGAGAGAGAATAATTGAGATTTATTTGTAGAAAAGGGCTGCTGCCGCTACGCTCCAGAGGGAGACACTGTCAGACATTGAGACCTTTGCAGATTGTTTCCACCTCCCACGCCCCTTTCATTTTCTTTCTTTCTTTTTTTAAATTATTCAATTCATTTATTCTCACAACTCATGCACCTACGTGGTAAATTGTTGATCTCATCCGATATATAACTAACTTTTACAAATAATTTATAATCATTTTTACAAGTCATTTTACATTAAAGATACTAGTAAATTGTTGTTGATTACTTTCTTCTATTTTTGGTCTTTCCTATTTTTCTATAACTAGAGTAAAATATTACCCATAAGAGAGGACATATTTTAAAAAATAATGTATTTAAAAAGGGTAAATTGAGAATTTTTTTTCCAAAAAAAATAACTTAAAATCATTTTCTTAATTCTAGTAAAATAGTTAGGAGTAGCTTGTGTATAGGAGAATAGAGTATTATTAAAAGAGCCACGCCAATCTTTAATATTAAATAAATTATCCATTATTTATTTTTATTCTCATGTTTGTTTTTTAAATTAACTAAATGTTAATTTCCCATAAATTATATGGAGTTTGAAAAGTATTTGCTACACTCTATGCATGCTCTGTATGATTTCTATAACATTTAATACATTAATTAGTTAAAGATTACATTCATAATTTTGTATCAACGTTTCCTGTCTTAATGTGAAATTTTGGAAAATAATAAATTGCGCCATTTAAGATGTAATAAATAGTTTGATTTATATATATTGATATTAGTTACGGATCTATCAATTGAGATGCCTCTAAAAATAATGCAATTTCGATTTAGATTTTTTTCCTTATTTAAACAAAATGTTATGTCAACCATTCCAAGCACTTAGAGAAAACTTTACCTAATTACTTGCATTAACTTCATTTTTATTTTAAAAAGTTTAGATGAGTTGAATTGAGTTTTAGGATTTTTCAAGACTGAAGAACATTTATAAAGTTATTTATAAATTACTCATCAATAAAATTTTTATATCAATAATGAAATTTGATCTCACGATCTTATATATATATATATATAAAAGTCAAATTTTTACTAACTAGACTAATGAATATTAGTTTAACTTTTTTTGTTATGTCATTTGTCAACTAATTCATAAAATCATTTTATAATTTTAGATTAAATAATGAGTTAATAAAATTTCTAAATATATGAAGTATGAAGCCTAAAAAAAAAAACACAATGATTTATATTTTTACTTAAAGAGGGTCAATTGTCTTTACTTTTAAGAACATAATAAAGAAAGTGTCAAGTTGCTAAGGGACCTTAAATTCTAATGAAGTGTCGGTCATTACTCATTACTTATTCAAAAGAGCGAATGCCTCTTTACGCTTTGTTTGGTGTCACTTAATTACAACAAATTACACATATTAAAGTGTATTATATTGATTAATAAAGT